AAAAAAAAAAAAAAAAAAAAAAAAAAAAAAAAAAAAAAAAAAAAAAAAAAAAAAAAAAAAAAAAGAGAGACTTCAAACAGTATGAGAGAAGTTTCATCTCCAAAGAATATGAACAAGCATGTAAAATTTCTTCATTATTTTCTTCCGTATAAATTAATTATTATAGGAGTCGATCCATTCTATACCCTCGTAAACACCAATTTTAACCACTACTGATGTTGTTTAGGGGGACCTTTGTCCTTATATTTTGAAAAATGTGTGGCTACAACAACCTTTAAAAAAAAAAAAATCTTTGGAGGTCTAGTACGGTGAATTGGTAGAAAGACTTCAAATTCATAAAGCGGTACATCTCAATCTTGAGAAACTAGAATTCTCTCACATTTCCAGTGATGTCTGCATTAAAAAGGAGAAAATTGATCACTTTCCATCCAGGGGAACCAAATCACCAAAGTAAACTTCCTACACAAGGAAACACAACACCAGCCTGTTATAAATTAGAATCTTTATCTCTTCAATTCACTTGAGCAATTGAATAGCTATTTCTTGCTCAGGCTTAAGGGTAAGTTGAATTACTACTTCAAAAGGAGGAAACTAGTTGGAGATGGAAATCTAGAGTGTAACAGATGCAAGAGGGAGTCTGCACATTTACTCTTTATAATAGCTAATTTTAGGAGACGCGGAAACTTGATTGACTCCCATGTTACCAATAACGAAGAAATTCTTTCAAGAGATCCTGACTTTAAGGTAGATGGTACCCTCCTCGTCCTTAAACACTTCCTTCATTAATGAACTGGAATCTTCTTGTCCTCATTGATAGAAAATCAAATAACATTGGAAGAGATCCAGAGAATGGCCTTAGTTTTGAGGGGCTACGGGTGTCTAGTCCTGATGGTTTCACTTGCACATTTTTCTAGGCTAGTTGAGAGGTCAAGAGGTGGGAATTTGCTGAAGATATTTAACAAATTTTATGAGATGGGTAAAACTCACGAATGAGATTACATTTGTCCTCTACTTAAGAGGTTGAATGCACATAAAGTAGAGGATTTCCGGCCTACAATCTTGGTGACTAGTTGGTACGGCCCTAGCCAATAGAATGTAGAAGGTATATATCCCATACCCCCCACACAACTAGTGGTAATTAGATGTCTTTCGGACTGGACAGAAAATCCTTGACGAGGTTTTTACTCATCATTTCTTTCAAAGCCATTGAGGATTATGAAATTCATAAGTGGGAAGGATTCATCTTTAACATTTATGATAACGTATTGGAGTTTCTTGGACAGGGTCCTTTTCAAGAAGGATTTGGAATCTCATTGGAGAATTTAGGTGGAAATTTTTTATGTTTGGCTAATTTTTCTATTTTGAATGATGGTAGAGGGTAAGGCTAAGTGATAGACTCAACGCGAGGTCCTTGAGTGGGGAGAGATGAGGATCATCTTAATCAATTGCATTTTGCTAACAAAACCATCTGATTACATTCCAAACGATGATTCTCATAGGTTTTTGCATAATATATTGTCTATTACCGATTGGAAAATGAATTGGGAGAAATATTTCATAATCAATGTTAATGGTAGACCTTCTTTGCTCGGTAAGTAGCTTAGTGAATTGGGCCTTCCTAGAGGTCATATCCTAGATGGGTATCTTTTTATGTTTTAGTGGCAGAAAAGGTTTGAAAGTGTATTTCGTGTTGAAAGAAAGCCTATTTTTCTTGGGGGAAGATTTATCATCATCTCACATTATTTCTTATCCTATCCCCATCTAGAACTCCCTCCTGTATTGGTGCCAATTCGGAAATAATGACGAGAGAATTTTGCAAGGGGTAATAAAGGGAGGAGAACAGACCATCTGGTTCAGTGGGAACCAGTTGTAAGAGCTTCTGAGGAGGATGGTTTGCCGGTTGGGAAAGAATATTGCTCTCTTGGCTGAGCAATTATAGTTTTTTACCTTAACAACAATCGTGAGGCATGAAGTAATTACTTAGTATGAGTGTTAATCCACTGGTTTGTTCTGATTGCAATGAATAATGGAACATCCAGAAACCTCTTAAAAGCCAGCTTTCAGCGTCTAACTTGCTCCCTCATGAATTTCTTGATCAGAAATGGTTCTTGTATTTGTTTTCAAGAGAATCACTAAATTGACAATGATCCCCTTCAGTTGCTTCCACCTTATCTTTATAATCCTTCCTTCCAAAATATGATTATATTGCCTGTATGTTCTCTTTTATGGGGTCCTTTTCTCCCAATTCATTCACCTTCTCTCGTATAATTTTGTACAAATGTGGATTCATGGGAAAGATTCAGCCGGGAAGCACAAGGAGTTAAACCAATTTAATGATAGATACTCATTAAAGGACGCAGCTCAACATAAAAACGTATAAAAATAATAGTTTATATAAGCCGTTAAATAACAAGATTCTTTTTCAAATCTGAATCCTCTTCACAGTATTTGAAGGCAATGGTGATAGGGAAAAAAAAAATAAACATAAATACATCCAAATTTCCTAAAACAGCTGTAAAATTCTGCTGGTTGCTGGATTCAAAAACTAGAGTCGGGCAAGATGACAATCATATTAACATAGTAAAACTGATAAAAGTGATAATAATGGGCGGAACCATATATTAGAAAAATAGCAGGAAATAGTACTTTCAATCCAACATTTAAACAACCACACTTCGTTATAGGGTTTTAGCCTAGAGATTTCTTTTTATGAGAAACCGTTTTTCATTGGGATTGGGCTAGAAAATTTTTAATCGCTCAATATTTAGACTTTGTACACTTGAGAACTTTTGATCCATCATACAGCCTTATCAAAAGAAGAAAAAAATGACTGCATAAATTTCCTCAAAAAAAAGATAAATAAATATCATTTCACACAAAAGGAAAAGGAATGCAAGACAAAAACGTGCAGATAAAGAAGCCAATAAATCCGCTACTTACTTTTCTCCTCAGGTAGCACTGGAAGCGATGATGAATCATGCAATTCAAGAGAAAACAAAAACATTAGAGAAAGCAGATAATGAATTATAATGTTACATCAAACTTGGTAGATAAAGATGGAAAAGTGGCTAATTGGAAGCGAACCAAGCAACATAACAGGAATAGGTTATCAACATATTATAAATAAACAACCAGGTTCCCTTTGTTTTTCTTTTCGGGGGACGTAACCTCACGTGTACCCAATTTCTTTTACTTTAAAAAACTAATTGTATGCCATTAAAAGCATGAATTGAATGGATAGTTTTCCACATGCTTTCCTCTTCAAGCTTATAAGACGTATAATAAACAGAACCTTCATCTGGATTCCAACTACTTTATGCTAAATACTGTGAAAACAATGAACGATGCACATAGTGTAATGCTGTTTTAGAAAATAAATGCTTCAATGAAAATTTAGTTAGAATACCAAAATCATTAAAACCCTGCAAACCGGTTGTAGGACAGTCAAACATCACTATGGATCCTCCTAAATATGTATGCCTTAAAAAGAAAACATTTTCCTAATCATCTTGTTAGATTAAAATCGAATTCAATAGAGAAATCCCGCATTCATCAATAGAACGCACTAAAAAGAATGATAGAAGACCGCCTTACAGCATTGACTATCCTGGAAAGTAGATACTGCTATGAGAAGTTTTTAGGACTCAAACAAACAACAGTCAGTGACAGAATACTTAATTTAGTTCTTTATCTCATTTGACCAATAGAACTGTCCATCTGATCAAAACAATACTCAAAACAGCAAACACTTTGCCTCCACTTTTCACTAAGTAAACTACCAACATACGAAATAACCTCCATATTCGATAACTATCAACCAAATTTATTTACTTTGGAGTCAAAAATAGAGAGGAACAATTTTGGAAGTACGACTGACGGTCTAGAACAAGGGTCGGAAAACGTACCGTTTTTTCCATAAACTCTAGCATGATGCAAAACCTGAAATGGTAAAGAAGTTTCTTTACAACAAAATTAACCATACGCAGCTTAATTTGAAACTTGGATGAACATCAATCAATATTGTGCATGACTCAGGATTCCCAATACCTGATCGTCTGTGAGACCTTGTGATGGGTCAACCCCAAAAAATCCCAAGACCTGTTCGAACATAGAACACCGAATGTAAAATTGCACTAGGAATTCAAACATCTAAATCAGAAAATGCAAGATAATTGTTGAATGGAGAGAGCAATAAATTCGAAGCAACAAGCGGATTTATACACAAAACTCAATAAATTATCAAATGGGTCTTAATCCACAATTCGAATAAAACTGTGTAATTTCCTTCCAGTGCTCCGAATCAATGGTGTTGTGAAGGCGAATTGTAGAGTTTGATTCAAAGTCGGATAAAAGGAAGCGGAAGGGAGACAAGGTGAGTGAAAGAGCAATGCAAACCTCAGAGATGGATCTGGAAAAGGCGTCCTCCATTTTCCAATGGGCGGCTTCACTGACAGCGAGAGTGGAGTTGCACCCAGCTACAGCTTCCAAATTCTGTTCCTACAGCAATGCCTGCTTGAGATCCGAAAAAGAATGAAATGAAACGAAATGAATCAAGTAAACTGTTGGTTTCGTAAATGGAAAGTAACGATGGCTTCAATAGTCGACGCGCGCCCTCCATATTTCCCGCTGGCCCAAAACAATCCATAACTGTTGCTATATTGGCCCAATGCCAAGCTTTTATGGGCATGCCCAACATTCACCAATTTTTTTTTTTTTTTTTTTTTTTTTTTTTTTTTTTTTTTTT